TGGAGTGGAGTGGAAGTGGAGCAGCAGAAGCAATTCGCACACCTTTAGCTGGCATCAAATTGAAGGTTTTCGTTTTCTGCACACTTTCACTCCATCAAATATTTTATGTGCCCTATGAGAACATGTGGCTGTGTGTGTGTGTGTGTGTGTGTGTGTGTTTGTATTTGCTTTGGCTTGTTTTGTAATATATTTCAATAGAGTGCAAAGTCTTTGATTATATTTTCTTTTTCGCACTCTTTCGCGTGTCGATTTTTGAGGTTTACTTATGGAATTTTTACAGTGCCGTCGCTGGCAGCGCCAGCCACAAATTTTTCATTAAAATTTTAACAATAACAAGCTGAGAGCCAGTTGGGGAAACCATGCCACTCCACTCTATGTCGCGACGGACATTATTCCCCCCCTTTAATGGAGTTTGTGGCAAATTCTGCTACACGCATATACACTCACACATACACATATAGCGGCACTTTAGCTGAATTGTTTTCCATGCAAATTGTTGAGCAAATAGGCGGGCAGCTTTAATTAATGCCAATGGTCTATGCATTATTTAAGCGCATCGCGCAGCGTCAGGTTGTTGGCGCCTAAGAGCGAACTGCAATTAATTTGCCCAACAGCACAATGCTTTTCCACGCACACAAATACACATACACACACACTATGCTAAGCTCTCATACACACACACACACAGCGCGCTGTACAAATAAGTGTAGCATACATTTGAGGGCAAATGCGTTGGCGTTCGCGTTGTATTTGCTTGCTGTGCGAGTGTGTGTGTTTTTGTTTTGTTTGATTTTTGTTTTTGTTTTTACTGTGAGGTCGAAATTAAAAAATTCCACACAATACGCCACGCAATGCTCGGCTCCAACTGTATATAATCTTTGTCATGTGTCGCCGGCAGTCGTCCTCGTCCTGCTCGTCCTCCTCCTCCTCTTCCTCCTCCTCCTCCTCCTCTTCGTCGTCGTCGTCATCAGCCAACCGACAGATGGTTTTGTATACCCAATTGTGTGACAAATTGTCTACATTTCTAACCACTGTGCATGGTATTCAACTTTTCTTCTATTTTTATTCCATTTTCTGCTTTTCTTTTACTCCCTTTTTCCTTTTTTGGCAACCCTTTCACAAATATGCTGGCTGGTTGGTTCATTTGACTTTATTTACATTTTTTCTTCTTTGCCAAACATGACTTCATCATAAATTTATATCTAAAAGGTTATATTGACAGCCTTTGGCTCATGAGGCAGCTATATTTTTATGAACGGAGCCATGCTATTATTAAATTCTAATTATTGCCAAATTCTAGTTGAATGCAACTTTTTGATTGTCAATAAATATTTATTTAAATTATCCATAATTTCCATAATTCGCATTTGTTTTATTTATTCATTTGCAGGCACTTTGATTGGCACAGCAGGGCGTGGCGTGTGTGTGGAACGGCGGCAAAATTTACATTTGCATGCGCTTTATTTGTTTATGGCCAGCAAACAGTTTAAGCCCAGTCACAAATGTGCATAATTTGCAAATGTGCGGCTTCAAGTTATTTGATTTACCAAATATATGGCATATGTGTATGTGTGTGTTTGACAACCTCTTTTGTGTGTGTGTGTGTGTGTCATTTTTAGGCAAACTTACCCGACAGATGCCAAATATCAGCACAATGCTTAACAATATCATTGACATTTGTGTTCCAATTATGGCAAAATATGCAATTTGCACACCTGCAAGAGAAGAAGCAGAATAGATGAATAACAGTTTAACAAATAAAATATGTATACGTATGTAACATAAACTGGGCTATATTTAATTTTACTCTGCATTTCATTTGGAGCAACTTTTCAGTCTGCACTCAGTAGATTATGACTCAGTCTGAAATGGCATTCTAAATGTTTTTAATAGTCTAATTCATTGTGTCAGACACTCGGCAGTCGGCACTCGGCACATGGAGCATTTTGATTATTTATTAAAGTGTCGCTCGTTTATTATGCTCATGCACAGTCTGAGACC